CTAAGAAAGAATAAGAAATACAAAAACCTTGTAAAAATCTCAAAGAAACATAAAAAGTAACACCCTAATGAAATGGTCGGTGGCAAGATTCAAATTCGTGAAAAAGTGGCATGTAAATGATATAAAGAAATTGGTTTAGAAGACTGAGAATAAAATCTTTTTTTTTAAATGAATTTGAAGAGAAGAACTGGGATGTAACAGTAGAGTGGAATGTGTCAATGCTGTTATTTCTCATATGAGAACCAATAGAATTTTGTTGGGAACAGACACAGTGGATTCTCTTTTGGAAATAAACACATCAGGGATTGGATAGTTTAACTGTCTTTTCTATCACATGTGTTCTCATACCGAAAAAAGAAACATTAAAATCTGTCTTTCGAATGACGCGGTGTGTTGAGAATGTATTACACTTTAGCCTCTTTCATTGTTTTATTTGCATTGTTTCTCCTGTTTTCTATCGTTTATGTTGTTTTGTGCGTTACTATGCATCATGGTAGCTTAGAACTTGTAAAGCTATCGTTTAAGTCTTAAATAATAGAGTTAGGGAATATATGCGATTAAAGAAGTGTTGATTTTAGAAATCTCCCTTCTCGATAACTCCGGTAAAAGGTTTTATAACTGTAATTATTAAGTATTTCACTTTCTTCAAAATATTCTTTTGCGTAATTCAAGGGTAGAGAAGTTTATTGCTATACGTTAGTTTATTAGATATTTATCAGAACTAAGTGGAAAAATCATCGAATATGAATCTGATCAGCTTAATTTATTATTAACTTAACTATCATTTATACTGTGTATCGTTATCATTCAATTTTACGATTATTTATTATTAGCGTCGCAGGAAAAAAGACAGAAATGATAACTCATAAATTTTCTTTCCATCGTTCCCCAATAGAATCCGAGATGATTATTTACATCCCGTAAAGAAATGAGTAATTCTACATATTATCACCAAAACAGGCTTTGTCAATAAAAAGTGACGAGGGGAAAGCATTTTCATTGCATTTATTAATATTTATATTTTATTCATACCATTTATATTGACTTTTGTATTTTTATGTTTATTATACTGTACTAGTTTTCTAGTACTATCAAAAACTGACGGCAATATTAAAGATTTTGATATTTTATGATTACAATGCAATTACAAAACTGCGATCCATTTGGTATCGGTCTATATTTCTGAGATACCTTTGTCACCATATTTATCACAGCTTTTCCGGCCATCTTCAGGTGGTTGGAATGTCGAACTGAACCCTTTATTTCGCTCACCGAGGTAGACTGTTCTAGTTCCACGTGCCATAGATGTCACTTATCAGTTATCTCCTGTTAATTCCCCTCTCCAAGTTCTCCACTGCCTTAACCAGGTAGTGAACTCACACTCTTTGGATCCTGTCACTGGACCTAACTAATACCTTTATCCACTGTGCCATGTGTAATAAATATGGCGACAAAGATGAGGACAATAGCCTTTATCCACTGTACCATGTGTCCTTGAGGACATCTATGTATGAATTTCTGGGTATTATAAACCTAATGTCTTCATAAACCATTTTTTACCAGTGCTCATATTGAAATTTTTGCTGTTATCACCCATGTTTTTACCAGGGCTCATATTGCAATTTTTGTTGTTATTATCGCTTTTCTTTGCCATTCCTTATTACTGGTTCCCATATTATATTCATTTCTATGCTTGGTCAGCTCAGGATATTTTTGTGGCCTAGCATATGTGCTAATTCCTTAAGTTTATGAATTTTCCAATGATGTTCTTTGTCTATGATCCCACAGAGGGCGGTTATCTCCCTTTTCTCTCCATATGTTGTCAGCCACGCCTGATTCTTCCACTTCCCCTCGTATTACAGCTTAAATAGTGTGAACTATTTCTTTGCAAACGAAAAATAATGAGCTAAAATAATAAAAAAAATATATGCAAATTATAGAATTTTATTTTCCCAATATAACAAGCATTTCTATTCCTACTATGTCATCAGATTTCAATAGATAGTGGACATTCATGGTGACATAGAAATTATGATGTTTTTGCCCTGCCCTACTTAGACAGACACGATCATATACATATATAGATAGACACTGATACACGCACAGACATATATATATATATATATATATATATATATATATATATATATAGATAGATAGATAGATAGATAGATAGATAGATAGATTCAGTTTGTAGCTCATCATTTAACTATTCTCAAACTTAGACTAATCTCAACTAATAAAGAATAAACTGATTTCTCTTAATCCAATTTTCTATTTCTCACAATTTCGTATTTCTTCGCATATTCAACGTTTTAATACTATACCAAGCGATAAAGCAAAAATGGCATTGAAACCTTGAATCAAGTTGGCAAGTGGCAATGTCAGAAGAATCTATAGCCAAGCATTTGCCAAATATCGCCTCGCAAGCCAATATTAATGAATAGCATGCAGCAGCTACATGGCGTGACTGGTTGTATTTTCTCTGACAGTACAGCGAATGAAGCCTTTGTCAGTGGCATCCGGTCCAGAAGATGTTCAGCCGGAACAAGGTTAATTCTATGGCATTAAGTGTAGATTCCTTGATACAGCCACGACCTTGGAAGCAACACTTGGTGGTGTGGCGAAGGCCCATGTCTTTGTGGCACGCAAAGCTATACCAAGTTATGTGTAATGCGAGATTGTTAGGGTTTTAAAGCTTTGATCGATAAAAAATCTGATCCACAATTTATTCGTCGCTTCCGGCTGATTTGACATCCGGTCTTTTTCACCTGTTTCTGACACATTGACAGTAAAAGCCCGTAAAAATGTTGATTCGTATAACTCGGCAGAATTAGACCAAGAGAACATATCATTTTCGTGTTTATCAAGAACTTTGCTCTCAGCTTTGAACATAGATTTGTGCGATTTATATACACCTCTAATTATCTTTATTCATGAAAAAAAATCATTTAAATCTTTGTGATTACATTCAGCATGAAAAAGAAAAATATTATATTGTGTAATGAATGACATGAAGGAAAGAAAAAGGAGTTGTGTTAAAAGCATAGAAAGATATTAATAAGCAGTAACATTTTACTTATTAATGTATGTTGTATCAATGAGCATATATATATATATATATATATATATATATATGTGTGTGTGTGTGTGTGTGTGTGTGTGTGTATCTTTAAAGGAACCAAATGAATAAAAAGAGACACGAGGAAAACTACTTTTTGCCGATGCGTTTCCTCCTCGGCCTTGATAAAGTCACTCAGAGGAAGAAATGCGTCTCTTTTATATATATATATATATATGTGTGTGTGTGTGTGTAAATAAAGGGTCCGTTTATTTTAAACAGTATATTTATTTTTGTCTACTGGCATTTTTTATTAGAGAAAGGTTATTAAATCTTATTATCCACAGGCAGGATTCGAACCTGCTTCACCCTTTCTAGGAGATAATGTTGTTAAATCTAATATGCTTCAGACCAACACAAATTTCCGAAAGCTCATATCTGCTCAGTTTCGTATCCAAACATAAACAAAGCAACTTCTAAATTGACTAATGGATACTTTATATATTAATCCGACAAATTTTCATCATTTAAAAGTTTTTTTTTGTTTTTTACTGGATATCCATGAAGACGGTAGATGAAAATAAATATACTGAAATATTAAATATGGGTAGCCATTAAATAAATAACGTTTAAAGTTATATATATATATATATATATATATATATATATATATATATATATATATATATATATATTTTGTATATTTAGGCAGTAATCCTTCCTTTATGCATGTTTCATTAAAAACGACAGACAAGGTACTACAGTTGAGCTTTTATTTAATTTTTCTTGTGTTCTGACAAGAGCTTTCTTTTCTGGACAAAGAGTGTGTAAGAACTGTCCAGATGTTCTGTGTTTCCGAGCGCTTTCGGCTATACCTTTAGCCATTATCAAGGATGATTCAATTATCAGCTTAGTAGAGTGTGTGTGTTCTGTGTATGTTCAGTGTGTGGTAGTGATGTTTTTTAGTTTCCGAATACGGTTAGCACATTGTGGCTTTGTTCATAGTTAATATTGTTAAGGGTTGGCTTTTTTTTTTTTTTTATTAGAGCTTCCATTATTTTTAGTCTTTTTTTTTTGCAAGTGGATGCAGTTAATATATTTGTGTTTTCTACTAGTATGTTCCTAATAGTGTCAGGTAAATCTGAGTGTGTGTTTAAATGTGTTCTGATGGAACTGTGATCAGATAGGTGTAATGTAAGACGTCTGGATAAACATGTAGTTTGTGTAGCCGATGTAATTATTTATGAGTCCGGTTTGGTGAGGAACGCAGTTCATAAAGGGCATTTGAACTCATAGATAATGTTCGTTCTTTTTTGTAATTTTGACTTAGTTGGTGTGTTGTTATTTTTGAGGATAAGGTTGGCCGTCTTAAATTTTTTATAATAGATAATAAGTTTGATTTTTTTATTCGGATCAATAGGAGTAGTATATTTCTTTATAATATGTCTTATCCACTTGCAAAAAAAGACTAAAAATAATGGAAGCTCTAATAATAAAAAAGAAAAAGCCAACCCTTAACAATATTAACTATGAACAAAGCCACAATGTGCTAACCGTATTCGGAAACTAAAAACATCACTACCACACACTGAACATACACAGAACACACACACTCTACTAAGCTGATAATTGAATCATCCTTGATAATGGCTAAAAGGTATAGCCGAAAGCGCTCGGAAACACAGAACATTCGGACAGTTCTTACACACTCTTTGTCCAGAAAAGAAAGCTCTTGTCAGAACACAAGAAAAATTAAATAAAAAAGCTCAACCGTAGTACCTTGTCTGTCGTTTTTAATGAAACATGCATATATATATATATATATATATATATATATATATATATATACTGTGTTACATAAACCACATCATGCTTTATCTATATACGAGTGATAATCAAAAATAATATCTTTGATTCTTCTAAAAAATAATGTTTTTTA